CCTCTTCCTCCTCCTCTTCCTCCGCTAAAGTTAGCTCCAAACTCCTTTAATCTTTACAGTCCGTTAACACCGGAACTGCCGCGGCTCCGTCACTTACCGGCTGCGACCGGGAGGTTGAATCGATTAGTTACAGATCGATATATCGACCCATCGTCCTGCCTGTCTGTCTGTCTGTCTGTCGCTCCTCAACCCGACTGACCACCGTTGTCAAGTTCTTCAAAATAAAACTGCGGGCTTCCGGGACAGCTTCGCCTGTCAAAATAAAACCAGTACTGAAGGTTGTTGTTGTTGTTGTTAATTTCTGTTTATTAATGACAGAAATTATATTTTAAATATTTACAACAACATTATTTTTTATTTTAAATTATTATTTTTTATTATTATTGTTATTATACATTATTTATTTAACCCTTTTGGGTTATTGTATTCTTCTTTAAACCTTACAGAAACACCTGTATATAGACATTGTATTATTCTATATATACATATATTTACCTCCTACTTACACATACTTATACATCTTATATATCCACATGTTAAATTATAGTATACAAACCCTTTATACACTACATTATATAAATATATATACATCCTTTATACATAGCCTGTTTCATCTTGCTAAGATTATATTATATTATACTTATACTTATATATATATATGAATCACAATCAATCACATCTGTATATAAAACAGTGTACGTATAACTGTTATTATAGTTTGTATTTTTCTATTCTGTGTTTATTTGTATGTATGTATATGTGTACTTTATTATTGTGTTGTGTTGTAACAAGCGTTCTTTCCCACTGTGGGATCAATAAAGTCTCTCTTATCTTATTCCCTGTTGCTTTATATTGATCTGTTTTTTTCACCTACTTGTATGTACATTAGCTCGTATGTTTATTTTACTTAATAATAAATAATTTGTACTTAAGTTCAGAGCTGTACTAATGTACTGAGATACATCCTATCATTAATTATTGATATATACATGCTGGTGTTAAACTACCCAACAGTATATAAAGTCATTTTTAAAAAGAGCTCCACCTTAACCGGCTGCAACATAACAGTGCTGCTTACACATTAATGAATCAATAATTATAATCCAACCAATGTATCATTTATTTAATAATAAATAAATAATATTGAAGAAAATACTTTCCTGTAACTGATTATTTCTACACTACTGTATGAACTCCCTCTACAGCTGAGGTTCAATTTATGTTGACTGGTTGTACATATTATTATCATTAATATTATTATTATTACTATTATTATTCTTTTAATCTCATTGTTATTATGAATATTACTGCAAATACAAATGTAGTGACCATGTTAATGATTTAACCATGATTAGTTGCCATGCACATAAATATAAATAAAGATAAAAACAGAGACAATATGTAAAATATGACCAATTATTTAAATAAATGAATGAAGAACTGTACAGTTTGCAGGAAATGTAAAGGTATAATAATATCACAAGATAAAAACAAAAGGAAGTGCACTAATGTAACACATATTAACCAAATAATATTCTATCAGCCACATCAGGCCCAATAAGGTTGAATTAGCTGGAAGTAACCGAGATAGGAGACTAATCTACAAACATGGAGGCTCTCTGAAGCTTACCTCACAAATC